CTCGCTCCAGAAACAGCCAACTCGATCGTTTGCCTTGGACATATCAATTTTTGCTGCAAAATACCCATGCTTCCTTCTCTTATTCTTCTTCATGGTGGGGAAACACTCGAATATCACCATAATATTGTCTATGATGAACCAACTATGCACAAACGTACTCTGCAAGGGCAAGATAACCTTATCGAGTAATGGCTTCAAGCGGTTGGCAAAAATATTTGACACAATCTTATACATGATTTACACAGGCTTGTTTGCGTATACTTCTTCGGTGTTGTCGGGCTGTTTTGTCTTGGGAATTAATGTTGTAATCATATGATTAAGGTCCTCTGGCAACACTCTCGTTTCAAGAATCTATGACATGGCCCTCGTTACATCGTCACCAATTATGGACTAGTACTTTTGAAAGAAAAACAGTGAGAGCCCATATGTTCCTGAAGTTTTCCATTTTCCCATTTGCTTGAATGCTCCCCACACTTCATCCTTGCAGAATTGCGCACAACAGCTCACTATTGTCATCCCCATTGACTGTTGGATAGAGTCTAACACCGACCATGTCATTGGAGTTGTGCCTGCCTTAAACAATGACTCAAAATATTTGACCATACAAGATGTTACTTCGATTTGCCCCACATATATACCACTGTCCTGCCTCATTCTTGATTCTATAGACAGTATTTTGCTTTCATCGCGCTGTTGCTTTATTATGAAATAAACTAGTATTCTTATCTCCTGCCAGCAGCTAGTACGCTCTAGACCTATGCTTCCAATATCTCTCTTCACTATCATGGACATCAGCCAAATCCTTTTCCAATTGTCTAAGTTGTGTCAAAATCTCCTCCATTTTCTTTCTTCTCTCTAGTGTTGGATTGCTCAATGGATCATATTCTTTTGCTTTGTAAAAGTTGGGAATGCCTGGCGGCTCCAACTCTCAAGGTCCTTGGGATTTTGTTCAAATTTGGTAAAGACATCATTCGATTCTGATCTTCTCTATGCCTCCTTAATCACCTTAGGTAACTCCTTAATTTTGTTCAATGTGGCTCAAAAAGAAAGGACCCCTCCCCCCATTTCACTTCCATGTCCTCGGGTTCGTGCGTGTCAACATATGATAGGACGGTGTTTGGAGCTCGCCCTATTTCTAAGTAACACTTGACCATTTTGGAAATCTTTTTGCAACTTTTCATTTGCTTTCCTATCCAAATGTTCTTCAATGAAAACACATTTGATACTCCTATTCTCCTTAGTGAACAGGTATCCATAAAACTCTAAAACTTGAAAGCCTACATCAGCTAGTCAGTCACCAAAGTTACTCATTTTTAATTCAAGAGTGTTCCACCCACCACTCTTCTCATCACTCGATTGTGCTTGGTTAAAGTAGCAACCACATAAACATGATCCTTTTAACTGTATACTAAGAGACACAATAAATCCCAAGTCCTTCATTCCCTACCCTCTGGCCATCCATAGATGGCTAGTAAACCTCCACTTGACCTCCAATTCTTCATCTATTACAATACCAAGATAGTGGAGGTTGAGAGTATACACGTAATAGGTAAATCTTCCTTCCAACTTATACTAACGCCACTAGCTCGGCTCCTTGGTGACATCACCGTCGGGTAACTTTCTCCATGCTTGAAACCACACGTCTCCTGTAATGCTTAATTTTCAGTCACTGTTTACTTCGTTTCCATTAAAAAAAAACACCATATGAAGGGATGATCTACGTTATAGCACAGTTAATGCCCTAACCGACAACATATTTCCCAGGTCGCGACAGTTATAGTTGAGTAATCTCATTTAATTACAAAAGGGGATAGGCTTCCCGCATTGCTTCAGCAGTGTACTCCGTGTGTAAGTCCGCAACGTACCATTCTTCTATTTTAGTTACGTGAAACAGGCGGCGGGTTGTACTGCCACCCCTGGTCCATGCCCAAAGAGCATCCATCTGCTTCTGCTCCTCCCCATGGACCTTGTAAACATCATCTAGGACCTCGTCTTTGGGTTCCCATTATGAGGGTTTAACCCCTTTTTTCTCCTGTTGCGTTTCTTTTTATCCCTTAGCATTCAGTGAAGATGATCCCATCGAGGGTCGATGAGTGCCAACCTGCCATCAGGGATCATGAGGATCTTCGCCTCCTCCAGGCGGCGTCTAAGCTGCCGTCACTATGAATTCGCTAGGAGAAACCCTACTCCAAGAACGGTGGTAAGATTTTCACAGCTTCGGAATTCTCAGAGCTATTATCCAAAGCCAGTAGAACTATGAAATCACAGGAAAACTAAAATTAAAATTAAAAAGGCAGTTAATTTCAATCCTGAAATCAATGCAAATATTGAGGGGTCGTTTGGATGTGTCTTTCTCATGAGGCAATTTTGGCCCAATTGCCTCAAAATGAGACAATTGGACTAGATTGTCTCATTTGGCAACACAAAAGAAAAATGGAGCAATTTGGGCTCGAGGAAATGGAATTGTCTCATTAGGTTTCAATTGGAAAACCTGGGTGGGGTCTGATAATTATAATTGACGTGTTTTCCCACCCCGTCCAAAAGCGACCTTCTCTTTTTCTCTTCTCTCTCTTCAGTCTTCATCATGGTTGTCATGCCGGCCGGCGTGCCACCGGTTGTACCGGGTTCAACCGGTACCAGTCATAAAATCGGCGTGACACCACCGGTATAACCGGCATGATCGATATACGAATCTCTAAAGTAAAATGACCTTATTTTAGAGAATTTAATTGATAAAAATTATTTTATGAGTATAAAAGTTAAATATTGATGTTATTTGTTGGATTCATGTATAAATGTTTAGGTATTGACGTTAAATGTCATGTTTAAATCTGAGTATTTATAATTTTATTTGTAATATTGACCGGCATGAACCGGCACAAACCGGTATGTGCCACCGGTTGAACCATTCCACTTGCTAAACCGGCACACTGGCATAAACCGGTTTGACAACCTTGGTCTTCATAGAGACAAAATCTTTCTTCTCTCTTTCCCATCTTTCTTCAGCTGTCACTGAAAGAAATCCCTTGCTCCTATCTTTCTCGTCTTTCTCTAGTAGACGACATGCAAAGGCGATAACGAGATCGCCGATTTTCTCTTCCATTTTTTCTGTAGACTTTTCGATCTAGGCTTCGATGGCAAGACCCAAATCGGACAGAGCGAAGAAGAATGAAAGGTAGGATGCAGGCCGACGGGCAAAGGGAGGAATGGGAAGCTCTTTGTAGACAATGATTAATTGAGTTCGAGTTTTCAGAGGTTGATCTTTGTCTTTGCCCACTCTTTCTATTTTAGATTAGCAATTTGCTTTTCTCTAAAAATTTGAATTCTCGGAAGTTAGATTTCTCTTCCCCTGCAACCTATTTCTTCATCTGACTATGAGAAAGTGAACGTTGTGGTAGGGATGAAGATGAATGAGGGAAGATGAAGTTGAAGAAGAAGAAGAAGATAATAAAGAAGATGAAGGAGAGCTCAATCTAATTTTTCTTTATTGTGAGCCATCACCAACGATTACCCAACAAGTTTTTTATGTATGAATCTACATGCAAGGTGTTTGATAAAATGGGTTTTGTAGTCAGATGGAATTGAATCATTTTTTCTAATTGTGGTTTATTAGTGTTCTAATTGAAATTTTGATTTGTTGGATTTAGTGAATATATTCTAATTTCAATTTGGCACGATTAAATCTGCTCTAATTGCCGATTATAGGTTTGTGGATGATAACTCGAGAGGATTTCCTAAGAACTATCCATAAAGAAAACCCAGAAAGGTCAAAATAACTTACAGCAAAATAGAGGAAGAGAAACTTGTAAAAACAGGATTAAATTGTATTTTCTCGAACACATTTCCCCATTTCATAGGCCATTCTAAATGACACATTCTAAGCAAATTTCCTCATCCAATTGACTCATTTTCCAAAATGAGTCTTTTGCCTCAAATTGTCTTATTTTAAAAATGATCCATCCAAACTACCCTTGAAATTTGCTCTGCCTTCTCTCTTCTTCCAGCTTCCTTTTCTGATTCCGGGGGCTGCCGCCGGCTCCTTTTAGGTGATCGGCGGTAGCCCAAAACTTTTTATTTTCCTGCTTTTGTTTCCTTTTCTTGCTTTAGTGCTCTTGCCTGTGTCCTGGGCAGTTTTCAAGCGAATTTCCAGCCGTTCTGGCTTTCAGTTTTTCTCCTTTCCAGTCGAGCTATGGCTCTTCTTTCAGATCTAGGTTCTATGTTCTTGGGCTTGCTTGTCGTAGGAGCTGGAGTTCGCAACTTGGGAGCCTCTTCCAGATCTGGATGGTGGGTTTGTCCCCCGTTGGTGGTCTCATCTTCAAGGTGAAGCCATTCCCTTCTTTCCCTCTCCGACCTCCCTAGGTGTCTGAGTGGCTTGGTGAGCTGTCGGATGGTGGTGGGTTGGGTCTTCTCCGGTGGTTGCGGTTGGGATTCGGTGTTTTCGTGGAGGTTTGTGGCTACCTTGGGAGCTTCTGCTCTTCTTCGAACCTGATCTCTCTACCTCTTCAGCTTGGAGCAATCGGGTTATATCCTCTTCCACCGCCATGCAATCTAGTTTCTAGATTCATTGTGATGGATGCCTTTGAGTTTTCCCCAGGAGGCGGCACATGGGGTGATGATGTTCAACTACCATGGATTTCGATATGATCGGGCAAGCTGATTTTGGTTTTGTTGCACTTTGATTGGTTGCTTGCAAGAGAGTTTCTTGATGATCTGTTTTCGGTCAAGGGTTTTGCTCTTTCTGGGTGGTTGCTTGCAGACTGTGTTATGTTCGTTGTTGCTACATTTTGTCTTACACAGCTCTGTTTGTAACCGGATGTCTTTGGGCTTCCTCTTGTTGGAACCAGATTGTTGATTCGTTCTCCCTCTTTGTAACTGATCAGTTTGAAGTGCAATAAAATCCCCTTTGTCAAAAAAAAAAAAAAACACTACCCATGAAATGTTTTTGGTTATAAAGAATGAACCTGATCTGTAATGCCATACGACCTGCCGTTTCAGTGTTCGAATTACTCATAGGCTCAAGGGCTCATGGGCGGCCGCTGCTGACTGCTCTTGCCTCGCCCTCTCGCTCGGACGGCAACCAAGAAGGCAAATACCGAAAAAGTCCCTTATCAATGGCTTATATAATTTCTGCACACGACGGTCGAAGGCGGCAGCAATGACGAGCGAAGAAGCGGCTTCCTGAAATACAGAAAATCCATTAATGAATTGCTCCACCACCTTCACTTCCTCCACTCTAATGTCGCAATCACTTCATCTCGTTGCTAAGAACATCCCAGGTGCGTGCCTCTTTACAATTACTGCCCTTTCTCTTTCATTTTGTCCTCCTTCAGTCTTCCTCTTGGCAAGGCTCGGCGTGGCACTCGAATTTTGTTGGAAATGTGGGCAACTTCTGCGTTGGAGCTCGCTTTTTGTTGGCCTAGGCGCGTTCCTTTTCTCCAGTGAACCTTCATCTTTCATGGTTGTCCTAGCACTAAGCCGTTGTCTGGTTCGACTGTTCTTTCCCCTAGTTCCGGGTCGATCTTTTAAACCTCACTAGATTTATTTTCGACTGTGGAAGGTGCAATCTCTTCAGTTTCTTCGCTTATGTTCTGTACAGCCGACCTCGTAGCGATGTTTGGGTAGTTTTGCTGTTAGCCACAGGCCGCAGCCGCAAGGTTGCTGTGTCAGTGTTAGTGTGTTACGCTTAGCGTGGTGAACACCAGGTGTTTGATAAAATGTCTCAGGGTCATCCTTCTGCTCAAAGAGGTGCCCCTCTCATGTCTTCAGATAGAAATTACCCGTCAGTCACCTTGGACATAGTTTAACTCTCCAATTGACGCCAAGCTTGATGTAAGAAGCCTTACGAAGTTTGTTGTTAATTCTGGCTGAATTGTTGACTACTGGTTATGATTTAGGGAACTGCTATAAGTAGCAAAGGCTGCCAAGATAAAGTGCCGTCCATGTATGGTTGTTCTAGTCAGATTGTGATTTTCCCTAGGATGCAGTGATTTATGTGGTTAAACTGAAACGTTAGACCAGCTGTCCTAGGGAAATTTTGCTTCATGATTTATTGAGTAGTGTTCACTTTTCAGTCGTGTAGGTGTCTTGGCTTTGTATCATGTGAGGCTGGCTTATTCAAGTTATTGAGAGTCTTCACTCATGAAAGAAAAACTTCAATAGGGTCTTCCATTTTTCTCTTGTGTCTACTGAAATGTAAGGGGTATGGATGCAATAGAGATCGTCAGAGGAAAACATTCACTGTTTTGTCATCCAAGGAAGGTCTAAGAGACTGCATATTGATGCTTCAAATCAAACTTGCAGTCACCTGGGATTGGCCACATGCTTTTAAGTGTAAACCAGACTCTTTTAGCTGTTCTGAGCTCATACAGGGAAACAAAAGAAGTTATTTAACTGAGCCATTATCACCATGCATTATACAAAAGGGAACTATGGCGTCAAGATCAAAGTTTTAGTAATTTTGATTGATATAAAAGCCATCTTCAAATATGAGATGCAGTTTTTCGAAATTTCATTATCTGCTGGGTGAAACTGAGCAAAAAATTTTTATGGTTCATGTAGGTTCTGGGCCACCAGATGGTAGGTGTCTATCCTTGTCTGGAGTTTCTGGTAGAACCGCAGCCGTATCTGTTTCTCCTTGTTCCTCGCATGGGATTGGCAGGGTCTTCTCTCAGGTTAAGATCAGATCATACAATGGTGCTTTTGGGACACCAGCTTTTGTGTGCAAGGCAAATTCTGGCAGTCATAGGAGAAACTCGGATTACTCGAGGCAGGGCAGACAGGGTCAGGGATACTCCCGTAACCGGGGGAGGCAAAATGAAGAGAGAGACAGCTACGAAACCTTGGATGAGTCTGAGCTATTGACATCATCAAAGAATGGGGCATTGCTTTCCTTCCCCAATAACTCAAAATCTCAAGCCACTGCAGCTCCAGGTCCAAGAGAGAAGGAGATAGTTGAGCTGTTCAGAAAGGTGCAGGCCCAGCTCAGAGAAAGAGCTTCTGTCAAACAAGACAAAAAGGTAGACACCCCGCAAGGAAAAGGGAGAGAGAACGAGACTGTTGATTCCCTCCTTAAGCTTCTTCGGAAGCATTCAGTTGAACAGGGGGGTACGCAAAAGGTTAGTGATGGGGACTTAGGAATTGACCAGCCAGAGCAGATTTTGGGAGGATATAATGACGACAAAAGCTCAAGCAGTGTTGTTCATTCCAATAACAGAAGCAGGAATGGTGCCGTGGAATCTAGTGAAAGTTCCTTTACAAGAAGACCACCATCAAGTTTCCGAAGACGATCTCCAATCCCTCGGGTAAAATTGCCACCTGTTGATTCGAGTGAGGACGATGTTGCTTTGAAGGGCCATTTGGATTCAACTGGGGAAAAAACAAAGGAATATGAGGTAATTTCTTCTGATGCTACCACCAGGCATGAGGTTGAACCAGAGCCAACAGAAGAGGAGCCTGTGGCAGCAGAGCTACTGCAGGGTAGTAATGATCTGTTTGACGAAGAGCAACTATCAGAGGATGAAGCTTCTGACTCAGATGAGAGCAAGGAAGAAGACGGAGAAGAACAGATGGGTGGCAAAGAGGATTTGAGTACATTGAAGGTAGGAGAGCTTAGGGCAATGGCAAAGTCCCGTGGCATCAAAGGGTATTCAAAGATGAAGAAAAGTGACTTGGTGAACTTGCTTACCGCTGGGCTTTCAGAGTGATTGGTGATGAACACGAGAAAATGCAGCTGGGAACTTCTGACGATGATCCATTTTGCTGCTCTATTTCATTTTTGGCGGTTTAGCATGATTTCCTGTTTCCTTTAGTGTAATTTCTTAGCCTTGCCAACCCTTGCCTGTGATGTTTATTTTCTGATTTTGCCTTGCTGGAATGATTTTGTTGATGATTTAAACAAAGAAAGACCTGGATCTTTTTAGCTGTAAGGAATTTCTCTGATTAGCTGATTCTAGTCTTAATTAACATCTCCTAGTTTTACAATAAATCTAGCTGCCATGGCATCTCCTAGTATAAATTAACATCCTCCATCCATCATCTGGAGAAGAGACTCAACCCCCTCGCCAAGGTGATAGCCAAATAGTTTAGGATTTATGATGAGGTTTCACAGTATTATATACTTTGGGATTTACGTCATGATTAATAAACTTATAATGGAAAGTATTTCTCAAACTCTAATCTTTCTTCTCTTAATTTCGTCATCCATATTTAACGGTCGTCGGTCATTCTTCTCCTCAATGCTCAATTTACTCTTCTAAATTCCTAAATGCCCAATTCTAGTCTTCCCAATCTCAATCCCCAATTCTACTCGAAAACATTAATACCAATAATTTTTTCAGAATGCCTCCACCCCACCGTTACCTCCGACAACAAACTCTGATACTTGGCTAACTTTGAAGTTAGTCACTTGATCCTCTTCCACTAGTAAAAGATCGTCTTATTGCTGCCATCAAATCAAACACGAGGTTCTACAAGGTTTGCCAATTTGTTTTCCAATAGTAAAACTTGCATTGAATTGAACGCCCCTTGATTTATTTGGACAACGATGACCCAAACCTCTTCAAACAAAGTTCGAACAAGAGTGTTTGATTGATGGTTTAAGGAAATGAAACTAAATTAAGTTACTATACTCCTACGAAGGTTTAAGGAGAGCTCCAAACTACGAGTATGACTACATTTGCAAAGGAAAAATAAAAACTTGATGTAGGCGTAAGTTGTGCGGCTTTGGGAAAATTTGTCTCAGTCGACCTCCTCTCCTATTTATAGTCATGGGGAAGTAACTGTCGTAGAAACTGTCTGTTTGGATAACTCCCAAAAAAGAGCTGCTCCTCTCTTCCTTGGACATGGCTGATGTATCCTTAAACATGAAATGAGTAGCAATTTCTCTCTCAAGCGCACATGTGCCTTTCATTGAATCATCATGAGCCTTAGAGTATAGTTTGCTTTGCCTGGTCTTGTTCCAAATCTTGTGTCCATGTGATCTCATACCAAGCTAGTCTTATGATAAGCTCGTGGTCGTTTTGCAAAGGGGTTTTTTGTCCTCTCCTAACGTGCCTATATATGTGGTCTTCTCCTCGCGGCCGCATGATTGTCTACTCACGACCATATGGTCGCCTTGCTCGCTGTCCGACAGCTGCTACTCACGACCGCTTGGTCATGAGGCATGATCTCCTAACATGCCTTCTAAGAATTAGTATATTTGCATACGACCTCGTGGCTATGAGGATTGATCTCACGGCATGACTGCCTCCATGGAGTCCTTTGTCTTGCGGCCATGGCTTCTTCCCTCGCACCCATGGCCTTCTAGTCTCGGGACCACATGGTCATCTGTCACAACCACAGGGTCACCTCGCCCGTAGTCGTGTGACCATGAAGCATGATCTCATTGCATGACCCATTCTCAAGACTTACTGTATTTTTGGCCATGCGGCCTCGTGATCATGAGGGGAGACAAGAACATGGACTTATCACTCACGCCCATGGCCCCCTCTTGCCATGGACTTCTTATTCGCAGTCATGACCCCTCTTGCATATGGCCATGGACTTCTTATTCACTCCCATGGCCCCTCTTGCAACATGGTCGTGGACTTCTCTAGACGTAAATATTTTTGCTTCTTTGATATACGGCTTAATGATCATGGTTTATTTTTCTCGCGGCATGACATGACCTCTTACAAGAGGGTCATATTTCGTTTGACTCATGCTCATGCTCATGCTCGTGAAGGATTTGGTGGCTTGGGCTTAAAAGTGAAAACCCATGAGACCCAACTTAAATAACATTAACTATTATAATTAATCTAACCTTATAAGAGCATTGATTATTTGTAAATCATCAATGTGGTACATGATAATTTTTAGGTGTAAACAAAAAGATAGTGATTTATTGTAGTTGGTGACCCAGTTGACAGGATTGTTGTCAAAATTAAAGTATCTTCCATTTCTATGATATAAAATAACACCCATTCATTAAAAAAAAATGATAATTTAATTTCCGCCATTAAACTACACTTTTTAAAAAATTGTATTATATTGACTACCTGATCGAAATAATCGCTTACCGAATTTGAATTAATACGGTTTTACAATCTTTGTTAAATGAATTCATATGGAGCCTTTACATATTGAAATCACAAAATGGAATGGAGATTTTTTTTTTTTTGAAGAAAACATTTTTCTATCAATAAAAGAAAAACGTTACTTAAATCTTACAAAATATTTAAAAAGTTTGAGAAAAAGGGGTACTCCACGTCAGCCTTGCAGCAACGTCTGCAACTTTCGGTATTACATTTTTGTTTTCTGTTTTTTTAATCCATCAGCCCAGAGGTTTAGTCTTTTTAAGTTTTATCAAATCAAATCTTTTAAGTGTTAACCGCATAAAATAGTCATTATCTCCAAAACACAACTGTTTAGATATGTTTATTTTTTTTCCATTCGAATATATTGATACGGCTCCTTATCTGAAAGAGAAAAGGCCTCTTATAAGCTAATTTAATTGAAACATTTTATCAAACGTTTGCAAACATGATTTTCTTTCATTCATCCACTGTATCTTTATACCCATATATGCAACCATCTTCTTTCCACCACAAGCAAATTGCATGCAGGGGTTCCGCCGCCGATTATCCTCCTCCACCACTCCCACATCGCAGCCACTGAATTTCCAGGAAAGTCGTTGCATTTTGCCTAATTCAATAGGATATTTGGGTTCATCAACCAGTTAAAGGCCGCAGTTCAGCCATGCAAATGGACCAACGAATTCTCTTTTTGACTATTCGGTCGAATCTCCCTAACCATGTTGTTATTTTGGATTGCAATTTTTGGATTCAGGATAGCTTCCATACACTTCATTATGCACTATGGAGTGCATGTGTTTTGCAGGCAATAAGGTCATATAATATTGACAACTGTTATCTTTTTCGTTCATTGCAGTACACTTCCCCCGGTAAAAAGTTTCATCCTTTTTTTTTTTGCATTTTTTGAGTTCTTTTAAGGGTTAGGTTCGGATACTAAACTATGCAAAATCCCGTATGTATCATAGTGATTTGATGATGTGATAGAATTTTACAAAATTTTGCATGTCAGAGTTTTGCACCCTATATGCTCCTTTTTTTATTATGTCATTTTTGTTCCTCGAAATTAGAGTATATTTGTCTTAAACTGCCCCCCACAATCTAGAATGAGAAAAATTATTTTTTATCGTAAGGGATTAGACCGATTCAAAACAAAGTATATATGATAATTCCTTAAGCATAATGTTATATGTTTAATAATAATTTTAAATTTTGATTACTGGACTAAAGATATATATTTACTGTTTTAAATTTTTATTATGTTTATATGCACTAGGAATTTATAGTGACTATTTAAGATAATTAATTGAGCCATAAGAATGATTGTTTATTATAAATTATATATGTTTATGAACGAAATAGCCAATTCGATATTCCTTGATTGGGATTTGAACATTTTTACCCAAAAAGATGTATTGGTTATGTTATAATTGTAAAGTTTGTTCACAAGTCAAATTTTCATAAACCTACATTAAAATCTCACAATAAAATTACAAAAAAACCTAAAATATTTTCAACATAAAATAATTTATATATGAGTAGGAATGACAATGGGTCGGATACGGTGCGGATACCCTATATCCACTACCTGCCATTTATGCCCACGGGTTTTACCCATCACCGACCAATGAAGCTAAATGGGCACACAATTTGGACCATGCCCAAGCTGAGGATGATTTCGGTGAATCCGCGGATCACGGGTTACCCGCCAACAAATGATCCATATCAAACAAACCTATTAAATGAAGTGCAATGAAACTGAACCAACACATTTATAATATTCAATCTGTAACCAGCTAACCATGAACTTGCAAACACAGCCAAAACTTGTCTACAATCCAGAAATATGACTAACGATAAACTCAGAATAAGTGTTTAACTAAGAGAGTGAATTCTGAGCTAACAAACCCATAAACATAACCACAGATGAAAGTGTGGTAGTTCAAAATCCGAGATAGTAGTACTGTAGGCAACTATGAGTAACCCAGCTAACAATATATGAAATCCGAGCTATGAAAACAAGAAAAACAGATAGCAGCAGACAGAACAACAACACACAGCAGACCAGCAACAGAACAACAGTAGACCAGTAGCACAATCCATCATCATGACCAGAATACAACAGCAGACCAACAAAGCAAAAGATGGGTAAATTGCAAGTTTGGTCACTCGAATTGCTACAAAATTTCATGTTTGGTCACTCGAATTCGTTTATTCCATTCGTAGTCACTTAAATTAGTTGAACAGTCCAAGTTCGGTCACTCTCCGTTAACCTCCGTCAGACTCCGTTAGTGCCGTCAGTTAACTGCTGACGTGGCTAACAGAGATGCCTAGTCACCCAATTTTAACCTAAGAAAAAACAAAAATTGACCCGCCACGTCAGAAAAACATGCCACCTCATATAAACACAACCCAACCCACCCAACCTAAAAAAAACCATTAACCCACCCAGAAATCGAACCCGTGACCCATCCACACTTCTTCTTCCTCTACACCCTGCTTCCGCCGCCGCCGCCGGATCCAATAACCCCCGAACCGTCGCCGCCAAGAGGAACAGCAGCCGCCCGCACAAATCACTGGCGCGACTCCTCGAGGTTCCTACACGGCCTCCGATTTCATCGATTGTTTCGCGCTCTATGTCCCAGATGGTGCAGGTGGTGTCGATGCTGGAGGTGCCAATTCGCTTGGGCTCGGCCTCGTTCCAGTCAAAGGAGGTGAGAGGGCCGCAATACTCGCTGTTCTTGTTGCCGTTGAGGAGGCTCTTGAGCTCCACCCGGTCGTCGGAGATTCGCCAGACGCGGAGGAAGTCGCTGGAGGTGGCCAGGAGGTCCGGCTTCTGGCAGTCCTTGTCAGGGATGAACATGGTCTTCGTCGGAGGGAAAGGGTGCTCGAAGGAGAGGTTTTGGTCGCAGC